ATTGTCAGTACATTGTGTCTATATTGTCTGTACATTGTGCCTACATTGTCAGTACATTGTGTCTACATTGTCTGTACATTGTGCCTACATTGTCAGTACATTGTGCCTACATTGTCAGTACATTGTGCCTACATTGTCAGTACTGTCAGTACATTGTGTCTATATTGTCTGTACATTGTGTCTATATTGTCTGTACATTGTGTCTATATTGTCTGTACATTGTCAGTACATTGTGCCTACATTGTCTGTACATTGTGTCTATATTGTCTGTACATTGTGCCTACATTGTCTGTACATTGTGCCTACATTGTCCGTACATTGTGTCTATATTGTCTGTACATTGTGTCTATATTGTCTGTACATTGTGTCTATATTGTCTGTACATTGTCAGTACATTGTGCCTACATTGTCTGTACATTGTGTCTATATTGTCTGTACATTGTGCCTACATTGTCTGTACATTGTGCCTACATTGTCCGTACATTGTGTCTATATTGTCAGTACATTGTGTCTATATTGTCTGTACATTGTGTCTATATTGTCAGTACATTGTGTCTATATTGTCTGTACATTGTGCCTACATTGTCAGTACATTGTGCCTACATCGTCCGTACATTGTGTCTATATTGTCTGTACATTGTGTCTATATTGTCTGTACATTGTGCCTACATTGTCTGTACATTGTGTCTATATTGTCTGTACATTGTGCCTACATTGTCTGTACATTGTGCCTACATTGTCCGTACATTGTGTCTATATTGTCAGTACATTGTGTCTATATTGTCAGTACATTGTGTCTATATTGTCAGTACATTGTGCCTACATTGTCCGTACATTGTGCCTACATTGTCAGTACATTGTGCCTACATTGTCAGTACATTGTGCCTACATTGTCAGTACATTGTCAGTACATTGTCTGTACATTGTGCCTACATTGTCAGTACATTGTGCCTACATTGTTGTACATTGTGCCTACATTGTCAGTACATTGTGCCTACATTGTCAGTACATTGTGCCTACATTGTCAGTACTGTCAGTACATTGTGTCTATATTGTCTGTACATTGTGTCTATATTGTCTGTACATTGTGTCTATATTGTCTGTACATTGTCAGTACATTGTGCCTACATTGTCTGTACATTGTGTCTATATTGTCTGTACATTGTCCGTACATTGTGCCTACATTGTCCGTACATTGTGCCTACATTGTCCGTACATTGTGCCTACATTGTCCGTACATTGTGCCTACATTGTCAGTACATTGTGCCTACATTGTCTGTACATTGTGTCTATATTGTCTGTACATTGTCTGTACATTGTGTCTATATTGTCTGTACATTGTCAGTACATTGTGCCTACATTGTCTGTACATTGTGTCTATATTGTCTGTACATTGTCAGTACATTGTGCCTACATTGTCTGTACATTGTGTCTATATTGTCTGTACATTGTGTCTATATTGTCTGTACATTGTCAGTACATTGTGCCTACATTGTCTGTACATTGTGTCTATATTATCTGTACATTGTCTGTACATTGTGCCTACATTGTCTGTACATTGTGTCTATATTGTCTGTACATTGTCAGTACATTGTGCCTACATTGTCTGTACATTGTGTCTATATTGTCTGTACATTGTGTCTATATTGTCTGTACATTGTCTGGACATTGTGCCTACATTGTCTGTACATTGTGCCTACATTGTCTGTACATTGTGTCTATATTGTCTGTACATTGTGTCTATATTGTCTGTACATTGTCTGTACATTGTGCCTACATTGTCTGTACATTGTGTCTATATTGTCTGTACATTGTGTCTACATTGTCTGTACATTGTGTCTATATTGTCTGTACATTGTGTCTATATTGTCTGTACATTGTCTGTACATTGTGCCTACATTGTCTTACATTGTGCCTACATTGTCTGTACATTGTGTCTATATTGTCTGTACATTGTCTGTACATTGTGCCTACATTGTCCGTACATTGTGCCTACATTGTCTGTACATTGTGTCTATATTGTCTGTACATTGTCTGTACATTGTGTCTATATTGTCTGTACATTGTCTGTACATTGTGTCTATATTGTCTTTACATTGTGTCTATATTGTCTGTACATTGTGCCTACACTGTCCGTACATTGTGTCTACATTGTCCGTACATTGTGCCTACATCGTCCGTACATTGTCAGTACATTGTGCCTACATTGTCAGTACATTGTGCCTACATTGTCTGTACATTGTGCCTACATTGTCAGTACATTGTGCCTACATTGTCAGTACATTGTGCCTACATTGTCTGTACATTGTGTCTATATTGTCCGTACACTGTCCGTACATTGTGCCTTCATTGTCCGTACATTGTGCCTACATTGTCCGTACATTGTGCCTACATCATCCGTACATTGTTCGTACATTGTGCCTACATTGTCCGTACATTGTGCCTACATCATCCGTACATTGTCAGTACATTGTGCCTACATTGTCCGTACATTGTGCCTACATCGTCCGTACATTGTCAGTACATGGTGCCTACATTGTCCGTACATTGTGCCTACATTGTCAGTACATTGTGCCTACATTGTCCGTACATTGTGCATTCATTGTCTGCATCGTCTGCACACTGGCATAATATTCAGTATCAAGTACACAACTCCGTAATAGGAACACAATTGTGTATGGTTTGGTAACAATGGTTAACTTCCATTTTGGATTGAAAAATTAAATTGAAAACTCATACAGTTATGACTAAGTAGTGATCAGAGGCATATTAGATATTGAACGATGAAGAAAAAGGTCATTTTTAATTTGACTTTTATTGAAATACAACTGGACCCTGTGTTAATTAGTCTCTTAAGTGTTTCACACCTCAGAGAGTGGTTAGTGGTGTGCCCCAGGCACCAAACATTACCAATATATAGGTATATATAGATCTACTAGGTAACGTCGCCAGAGAATCGCCACACGTTGATTGGACTCGGCCTGGCGACAGGCAGGGTCAAGGAGACGAGAAAACATCATCATCTAGCTAGGTCTCTCGTGTAACAAACACTTGATTTTACCTTTGTAATATGAGAATATTATAAAAGTGATATAAATAAAAATATCTCACTGGATGTCTAACATTTGTGTAAATTTTAGTGGAATTATTTCAAATTTGATTAGAATTATGAGTGAAGGATGAAGGCTTGATGGTATGAGTAGATTGATCCTGACTGAGTCAAAAGGGACCAAATTTATTTAAATTTAAAAATCTTCTTCTCGACACTTAGGTATGTCTGAATCCAATGCTCTTCTAGGGTGGAGGCTTCTTTAAGTGCTTTGGTTATCAAAATGACTCTCACATTTCTTTCTGGAGATGAGGTTAACAGATAGAAAAAATTAGCATTTTTGAGCATAACAGTTATTTCCCTTTGGAAGTAACTTCATAAGAATCATCAGTATAGGATGACAGTTTTGATGGTATGCTTATATTGACACTGGCTTACTATCATCAATATCACAATTTCTTTTTCATGACACTTGAAAGCTAATTACTCTTTATATTCAATATTAATTATCTCAGGTGACTGTCAAGGCCACTAGGCCTCTTGTTCTATAATACACTCATGTATCATACATGTACATACACCTTGTAACCTGGTGCCACAACAGAAAAGGTGCACATACAACCATGGAACAAAGAGAAAAAGGAAAACTCAAGGGAGATAATCATCCAACCTGAAGATTTCATGTGAAGTACAATAAGGAAAGTTGATTACATTTCTATCAATATATTTGCTGCAGACTTTTACAGCTATTATTTTGTAATAGAAAAGTTTTTCACAGTAAAATGTCAGTGATATAAATGTTTGAAACACAATGTAAAATAAAATTATTGTATCTTTTTAATGTTGACCTCCATGGAATGTAATTGTATTGCCAGATTTCTGATATTTTCGTGTCATCAATGGCATTTTACAAACTTACATGATAAAAACTATAGTGTTAGCAAAGTTTATTTGATGAAGGTGTTGTCAAGTGTATTGTAAGAAGAAAGATTTTGCTGTACATTGATTGGTTGAAAATCGCATGTGAAAAAAAAAGATAAAAAATTGATAAGAATGCAATAACATTTAATCAATGATGGACAGATCAGATAATTCTTGAATTGTTTTGATAAGAATGCTTTTTGTAATATTGTTATATATGTACCATTTGATGTGGTTATCGATGAAACATTGATGTCAATAAAATAATCCTTCATTCTCAGTGTGTGATCGTTACTTTTATATCATTGTGTTACCTGTCTATACTGACCTCTGTATGTATAGACATTCAACAAGGTGTCATTGTGTTACCTGTCTATACTGACCTCTGTATGTATAGACATTCAACAAGGTGTCATTGTGTTACCTGTCTATACTGACCTCTGTATGTATAGACATTCAACAAGGTGTCATTGTGTTACCTGTCTATACTGACCTCTGTATGTATAGACATTCAACAAGGTGTCATTGTGTTACCTGTCTATACTGACCTCTGTATGTATAGACATTCAACAAGGTGTCATTGTGTTACCTGTCTATACTGACCTCTGTATGTATAGACATTCAACAAGGTGTCATTGTGTTACCTGTCTATACTGACCTCTGTATATACAGACATTCAGGTATGTATCATTGTGTTACCTGTCTATACTGACCTCTGTATATATAGACATTTCACTAGGTGTTATTGTGTTGCCTGTCTATACTGACCTCTGTATATATAGACATTCAACAAGGTGTCATTGTGATACCTGTCTATTCTGGCCTCTGTATAAATAGACATTCAACCAGGTGTCATTGTGTTACCTGTCTATACTGACCTTTGCATATATAGATATTCAACTAGGTGTTACTGTGTTACCTGTCTATTCTGACCTCTGTATATATAGACATTCCACCAATGAAAGATTTCAAAAGGATGTTTAATGGTCCTCAGAAAAAAAAATCTACAGTGAGATTTGTTTCTTTTTAGATTGCGTCCAAATTGAGAGAAGTGATTGGTCGTAACTTAAGAAAGCCTGAGGCCACATTAATTGGACGAATCATTAAGGTCAGTCACATTTATGGAATATGGTGATATCTTGTAGAGAGAGAAAATCAGAAAGCTACCACATATTATCAGTGATTAAGGTACTTAAATTGGACGTAGTGAACTAAAGAAATAGTACTATTATACTTGTGTGTTCTAATTGTATTACTTCAGTAGGTGAAGGTCGGGATCTTGGTTTTGTGAGGAGGTCAGTTTGATGCACTAGTGATGAAGAATGTTACAAAGCAAAGGTTAAAGGTCATAGCTTAGGTTACATATAGCTAGCTACAGCGAGGACCAAGGCGATAACGTCTAGTGAGAGGTGAAGATCATAGCCTAATATGGTTGTGTAGTGAATGATAAAGGTTATGACCTTAGGTGTGTAGTGAGTGATGAAGATCATGTCCTTGATTGTGTAGTGAGTGATGAAGTTCATGACCTTAGTTGTTTAGTGAGTGATGAAGGTCATGACCTTGTTTGTGTAGTGAGTGATGAAGGCCATGTCATTTATTGTGTAGTGAGTGATGAAGGTCATGACCTTAGTTTTGTAGTGAGTGATGAAGGCCATGTCCTTGTTTGTGTAGTGAGTGATGAAGGTCATGACCTTGTTTGTGTAGTGACTGATGAAGGCCATGTCCTTCATTGTGTAGTGAGTGATGAAGATCATGACCTAGTTTGTGTAGTGAGTGATGAAGGTCATGATCTTGATTGTGTAGTGAGTGATGAAGGTCATGTCCTTGATTGTGTAGTGAGTGATGAAGTTCATGACCTTAGTTGTTTAGTGAGTGATGAAGGTCATGACCTTGTTTGTGTAGTGAGTGATGAAGGCCATGTCATTTATTGTGTATCGAGTGATGAAGGTCATGACCTTAGTTTTGTAGTGAGTGATGGTGGCCATGTCCTTGTTTGTGTAGTGAGTGTGAGTGATGAAGGCCATGTCCTTCATTGTGTAGTGAGTGATGAAGATCATGACCTAGTTTGTGTAGTGAGTGATGAAGGTCATGATCTTGATTGTGTAGTGAGTGATGAAGGTCATGACCTTTGTTGTGTAGTGAGTGATGAAGGTCATGAACTTGTTTGTGTAGCGAGTGATGAAGATCATGTCCTTGGTTGTGTTGTGAGTGATGAAGATCATGTCCGTGGTTGTGTAGTGAGTGATGAATGTCATGACCTTAGTTTTGTAGTGAGTGATGAAGGCCATGTCCTTGTTTGTGTAGTGAGTGATGAAGGCCATGTCCTTGATTGTGTAGTGAGAGATGAAGGTCATGACCTTAGTTGTGTAGTGAGTGATAAAGGTCATGAACTTGTTTGTGTAGCGAGTGATGAAGATCATGTCCTTGGTTGTGTTGTGAGTGATGAAGATCATGTCCGTAGTTGTGTAGTGAGTGATGAAGGTCATGACCTTGTTTGTGTAGTGAGTGATGAAGATCATGTCCATGGTTGTGTAGTGAGTGATGAAGGTCATGACTTTGGTTGTGTAGTGAGTGATGAAGGTCATGACCTTAGTTGTGTAGTGATTGATGAAGGTCATGACCTTGTTTGTGTAGTGAGTGATGAAGGTCATGACCTTGGTTGTGTAGATATTGATGAAGGTCATGACCTTGGTTGTGTAGTGAGTGATGAAGATCATGACCTTGTTTGTGTAGTGAGTGATGAAGGTCATGACCTTGCTTGTGTAGTGAGTGATGAAGGTCATTACCTTGGTTGTGTAGTGAGTGGTGAAGGTGGTATCTTGATTTGTAGTACAGTAGTTGATGAAAATAATGACTTTGGGTTAAGATACATCATACATCACTCTTTTTCAGAAATATGGACTTGAAAAGAAGAATAGAGTTATAGAATTAGAAGCAGTGCGTCTCTGTGACGTACAGCCAGATTACAAAGTATTGGAGGTCGGCTTCGGTCCTGGTATTGGAATAGAGGCCACATACAACATTATAAAAGGTATTATGTCAGATTGTTGAATGATAACAGATAAACTGTTGATTTAGTGTATAGATCTATATATGGTGTAACAGATTTAAATGATGCCAAGAGACTAAGTAGACATATTAATACTAACTTTACTAAGGCATTAATTTTGGATATTGTCTATTTAGTTATAATCAATTCTGACAAAGGAGTCCTTTGTTGTCTTCACCAGAAGGTAACATACAACTTTACATTGAAAATAATTTTTTTGTCTACATCACAAAATAGTTATTTTTCTCTAATACTTTTTTTACTCTTCCACTTTTTTTTTTACATTTTAACTTAATTTCAAATAACGTAGGCTGTAACGGTGAACTCACTGCATTGTGCTATCATTAATCTTACCTGGAATGCCATTATCAGTAACGAAGTCATGCTATGTAATGTTATGACCTGACCCCATTGTAAGACATTTTCAAAATAAAATCAGGTCCATGCTGACTTTCCCTAGGCAGGTAAAAGGCAAACACCTGTTTATTTCCTAAAAGATGGGAATGGTTCAATCTCTATAATATCTGTATTTACCATTGTAATTAGATGTAAAATGTTTTCTCTGACTGTTTACAGGGAAACAGATTTTGCTTATCATTAATTTGCTCAATGTCTCTAAATTTGCTTATAAATGCTCAAAGTTTATTTCAGCAAAGGTAATGTACAGTTGAAGATTGCCTGTGTACAGTAAACATGAAAATCTTGTTGGAGTTATTGTTTGGTGATTTGTTTTCTCAGAAATTAAGAAAGTAATTTCTTTAGTATCTGACTGTTTTTCAGGTGGAAATGGAAAGGTTTACGGTGTCGATTTTTCAGAGGAGATGGTTGAATCTGCCACAAAACGTGTGAACGAAGGTATCAGTAACGGGAAGGTGGAGTTACATCATGCTGACGTGGCCAACATGTCTTTTCTAAAATCCAACAGTTTTGACCGAGTCTTTCATTGTAACTGTTACTATTTCTGGCCTGACCTGACTTTGGCAGTAAATGAGCTCAACCGTGTGATGAAACCAGGTGCCGTTATGGTAACAACGATGAACTATGAACGTTTGAAAAAGATACAGTCCAAAGGTTATTTTGACAAATGTGGAAATATAGACATGAATCGCTACTTAAGTGCATTGCAGTCTGGTGGATTTCAAGAAGTGAAGTTGAAAAGTTTTAAACATGAAAGTTCTGGAATAAACATTGAGGCTATAATTGCACAAAAATTGGAAAATTGAAAAAAAAATTTTCTATGAATGGTCTCCTGCATTCTAAAATTATATATTCAAGTAATCTTTACATATTTCTCAAAGTAGTAAAGCTGTGCACGTTACTTGGTTAAATTCTACGACCACTTATTAGCGGGACAAATCCTACATGCTAAGTATTTAGTAATTAGAAACAATTTAATGTTGTACCAGTTTTTTGTTAATTATTATGTAAATAGCTTAATCACAAGATCATAAGTTTTCTATGTCTTATCAGTATTTTTTAAAGTTGTTGAATTTTTTTTGCTAATAAATATAATGTTGCAAACAAATGATTGTTGACAGAAATATCAAACTTTATTTATTTCCTAAGTAAAGATGAAATTAACCTTGGACAACATTGCTGGTCAGTGTTATCTTTCACAGGGTTAATAAATACAGGTGTGGACTTCATCAAAAGGCTATAATAGTATTATATTTAGAAGGACTGATCAACCATTGTAGTTCCTAAAGACTGTTGGTAGTCAGCGTCATGTCACTGGTCAACCCATTGTAGTTCCTAAAGACTGTTGGTGGTCAACCATTGCAGTTCCTAAAGAATGTCACTGGTCAACCATTGTAGTTCCTAAAGAATGTCACTGGTCAACCATTGTAGTTCCTAAAGACTGTTGGTGGTCAGTGTCATGTCACTTGTCAACCCATTGTAGTTCCTAAAGACTGTTGGTTGTCAGGGTCATGTCGCTGGTCAACCATTGTAGTTCCTAAAGACTGTTGGTTGTCAGGGTCATGTCGCTGGTCAACCATTGTAGTTCCTGAAGACTGTTGGTGGTCAGGGTCATGTCGCTGGTCAACCATTGTAGTTCCTAAAGACTATTGGTGGTCAGGGTCATGTCGCTGGTCAACCATTGTAGTTCCTAAAGACTATTGGTGGTCAGGGTCATGTCGCTGGTCAACCATTGAAGTTCCTAAAGACTGTCACTGGTCAACCCATTGTAGTTCCTAAAGACTGTTGGTGGTCAGGGTCAAGTTGTTTAAAGCTTGGTCAGGTAGTGAAAAATTTCCTAATTGTTGCCACTGAAGAAAAACGACTCTCAAAGCAAAATTGACATTTAACATCAATCTGGCATTTAATATCAATCTGACCGACATCTGACAAATATCAATCTGACCGACATTAAATATCAATCTGACATTAAATATCAATCTGACTGACATTAAATATCAATCTGACATTAAATATCAATCTGACCGACATTAAATATCAATGACATTAAATATCAATCTGACATTAAATATCAATCTGACTGACATTAAATATCAATCTGACATTAAATATCAATCTGACTGACATTAAATATCAATCTGACATTAAATATCAATCTGACTGACATTAAATATCAATCTGACATTAAATATCAATCTGACATTAAATATCAATCTGACTGACATTAAATATCAATCTGACATTAAATATCAATCTGACATTAAATATCAATCTGACATTAAATATCAATCTGACATTAAATATCAATCTGACATTAAATATCAATCTGACATTAAATATCAATCTGACATTAAATAAATATCAATGACTGACATTGATATAAATATCAATCTGACCGACATTAAATATCAATCTGACCGACATTAAATATCAATCTGACATTAAATATCAATCTGACCGACATTAAATATCAATCTGACATTAAATATCAATCTGACATTAATCTGACTGACACTAAATATCAATCTGACATTTAATATCAATCTGACCGACATTAAATATCATTCTGACATTAAATATCAATCTGACTGACATTAAATATCAATCTGACATTAAATATCAATCTGACATTAAATATCAATCTGACATTAAATATCAATCTGACTGACATTAAATATCAATCTGACTGACATTAAAAATATAATCTGACATTAAATATCAATCTGACATTAAATATCAATCTGACTGACATTAAATATCAATCTGACATTAAATATCAATCTGACATTAAATATCAATCTGACTGACATTAAATATCAATCTGACATTAAATATCAATCTGACATTAAATATCAATCTGACTGACATTAAATATCAATCTGACCGACATTAAATATCAATCTGACATTAAATATCAATCTGACATTAAATATCAATCTGACTGACATTAAATATCAATCTGACTGACATTAAATATCAATCTGACATTAAATATCAATCTTACCGACATTAAATATCAATCTGACTGACATTAAATATCAATCTGACATTAAATATCAATCTGACATTAAATATCAATCTGACTGACATTAAATATCAATCTGACATTAAATATCAATCTGACATTAAATATCAATCTGACTGACATTAAATATCAATCTGACATTAAATATCAATCTGACTGACATTAAATATCAATCTGACATTAAATATCAATCTGACATTAAATATCAATCTGACATTAAATATCAATCTGACTGACATTAAATATCAATCTGACATTAAATATCAATCTGACATTAAATATCAATCTGACTGACATTAAATATCAATCTGACTGACATTAAATATCAATCTGACATTAAATATCAATCTGACTGACATTAAATATCAATCTGACATTAAATATCAATCTGACATTAAATATCAATCTGACTGACATTAAATATCAATCTGACATTAAATATCAATCTGACATTAAATATCAATCTGACATTAAATATCAATCTGACTGACATTAAATATCAATCTGACTGACATTAAATATCAATGACTGACATTAAATATCAATCTGACTGACATTAAATATCAATCTGACATTAAATACAATCTGACATTAAATATCAATCTGACTGACATTAAATATCAATCTGACATTAAATATCAATCTGACATTAAATATCAATCTGACTGACATTAAATATCAATCTGACTGACATTAAATATCAATCTGACTGACATTTAATATCAATCTGACATTAAATATCAATCTGACATTAAATTGACATTAAATATCAATCTGACATTAAATATCAATCTGACATTAAATATCAATCTGACTGACATTAAATATCAATCTGACCGACATTAAATATCAATCTGACCGACATTAAATATCAATCTGACTGACATTATATATCAATCTGACATTAAATATCAATCTGACTGACATTAAATATCAGTCTGAAATTAAATATCAATCTGACATTAAATATCAATCTGACATTAAATATCAATCTGACTGACATTAAATATCAATCTGACATTAAATATCAATCTGACATTAAATATCAATCTGACATTAAATATCAATCTGACATTAAATATCAATCTGACTGACATTAAATATCAATCTGACCGACATTAAATATCAATCTGACATTAAATATCAATCTGACCAACATTAAATATCAATCTGACATTAAATATCAATCTGACCGACATTAAATATCAATCTGACAGACATTAAATATCAATCTGACATTAAATATCAATCTGTAATTAAATATCAAACTGACATTAAATATCAATCTGACATTAAATATCAATCTGACCGACATTAAATATCAATCTGACTGACATTAAATATCAATCTGACATTAAATATCAATCTGACATTAAATATCAATCTGACATTAAATATCAATCTGACATTAAATATCAATCTGACTGACATTAAATATCAATCTGACATTAAATATCAATCTGACATTAAATATCAATCTGACTGACATTAAATATATCATTAAATATCAATCTCTGACATTAAATATCAATCTGACATTAAATATCAATCTGACTGACATTAATATATCATTAAATATCAATCTGACTGACATTAAATATCAATCTGACATTAAATATCAATCTGACATTAAATATCAGTCTGAAATTAAATATCAATCTGACATTAAATATCAATCTGACAGACATTAAATATCAGTCTGAAATTAAATATCAATCTGACATTAAATATCAATCTGACATTAAATATCAATCTGACTGACATTAAATATCAATCTGACTGACATTAAATATCAATCTGACTGACATTAAATATCAATCTGACATTAAATATCAATCTCTGACATTAAATATCAATCTGACATTAAATATCAATCTGACATTAAATATCAATCTGACCGACATTAAATATCAATCTGACATTAAATATCAATCTGACATTAAATATCAATCTGACCGACATTAAATATCAATCTGACTGACATTAAATATCAGTCTGAAATTAAATATCAATCTGACATTAAATATCAATCTGACTGACATTAAATATCAATCTGACATTAAATATCAATCTGACATTAAATATCAATCTGACATTAAATATCAATCTGACCGACATTAAATATCAATCTGACATTAAATATCAATCTGACATTAAATATCAATCTGACCGACATTAAATATCAATCTGACATTAAATATCAATCTGACCGACATTAAATATATCATTAAATATCAATCTGACTGACATTAAATATCAATCTGACATTAAATATCAATCTGACATTAAATATCAATCTGACCGACATTAAATATCAATCTGACATTAAATATCAATCTGACTGACATTAAATATCAATCTGACCGACATTAAATATCAATCTGACATTAAATATCAATCTGACTGACATTAAATATCAATCTGACATTAAATATCAATCTGACTGACATTAAATATCAATCTGACTGACATTAAATATCAATCTGACATTAAATATCAATCTGACATTAAATATCAATCTGACATTAAATATCAATCTGACATTAAATATCAATCTGACTGACATTAAATATCAATCTGACATTAAATATCAATCTGACATTAAATATCAATCTGACATTAAATATCAATCTGACATTAAATATCAATCTCTGACATTAAATATCAATCTGACATTAAATATCAATCTGACATTAAATATCAATCTGACATTAAATATCAATCTGACATTAAATATCAATCTGCCCGACATTAAATATCAATCTGACATTAAATATCAATCTCAATCTGACATTAAATATCAATCTGACATTAAATATCAATCTGACGACATTAAATATCAATCTGACCGACATTATATATCAATCTGACTGACATTAAATATCAATCTGACATTAAATATCAATCTGACATTAAATATCAATCTGACATTAAATATCTGACATTAAATATCAATCTGACATTAAATATCAATCTGACATTAAATATCAATCTGACATTAAATATCAATAACTACATTAAATATCAATCTGACATTAAATAACAATCTGACAGACATTAAATATCATTCTGACATTTAATATGATTCTGACATTAAATATCAATCTGACATTAAATATCAATCTGACATTAAATATCAATCTGACATTAA